GAAACAAATAAGAGACGAGAAGCAGTGAGTATTATTACCTACTGGCTGTCTTCTATTTTTATTCATGCTTCCCGTGAGGAGCCCCTCATTGCATTAAATTTCCCATTAAGCAGTAATTTTCAGTGGTGGAAAACTTAGACCCTCAAAGGACATTTGTCAATGTCTTGAAAGTGGTGTGGGAGGGGCAGTGCCCCTGGCGTGTCGTGGAGTCTGAGGGTGCTGGTAAACATCTCACGTGGCACGAGACAGCCCCACATCAAACAATTACCCAGTCTAGAATGTCAGTAGTGTCCCTGTTGAGAAATCCTGCCATACCTGCCCCTTCGTCATCTCCGTTTGGTCCTTGATGTGGTAAGGCTGCCCATTATAATTAGACTCAGGGTGCTTTATTGTACATGTTTGGTTTTCTTAACATGCCTGCCCTTTTATAAATATAGCTTTCATTAAACTCTTCAATTACTCCTTTTGGGTGCAATATTTATGATTGGGCCTCACTGCCTAATTACACATAGCAAACAAAGTCTAACATGATAAAACCTACCTCTGCCCATCTTTCCTAAAGCCCTAGCATCCTATTTCAGTAATGTCAAATGATCTACAAGTTGTCAGGACTTCTTTTAATAGTTCACATCTTTGAATTAAATTGCATGGGTTCTCTACATTTGCACATGTCTACTGTACCCTGGTACCTAACACAGTGCCTGCCACATAATACACACTCAGTAAATTTTGGCTGTATAAAATCATGCCATCCTATAATTCAAACAAATACTTTAAGTGTCTGTTCTATACCAAACTGTTCATTCAACTGAAAATACAATTGTTAAGTTATAAATGTATCCCTCAAATTTCACATGCTAAAAACTGAATTCCTAATGCACGTGTTGGGAGATAGAGCATAACTGGGAGGTCATTCAGGCACAGGGCTTGACTGTCTTTCATGGATTAGCATGTTTGCCATGGGAACAGTGTTACAAAAGTGAGTTCAACCCCATTTCCCTCTTGAGTGCTTTCCTTCGCCATGTGATGACTTCTGCCACATTATTCCACAGAGAGAAAGCCCTTACTACACGTGTTAGACTTTGTAGCTTCCAGAACCATGAGCTAAATCACCTTCTGTTCATTACAAATCACCCAATCTGTGGTATTTTGTTACAGCTGCACAAAAAGGACTAAGACAATCGCAACGAACAAAACAGAGAAAGATCCCAGCCTCTCTGGGCTTACATTCTAACAAAAAATATGTAGGAAACTAAATTTTTAAAAGGCACAATGCATATAAGAGCAAGCGACTCAGGGAGAGTTTGGGAGGGTAGGTGGAGAAGCCGAGGAAGGCCTCGCAGGGGAAGACACTCATGAGAAACATGCCAAGTGAGTGCACCAGAAGAGAGGGAATTGCAGTTTGAAAATTCCCCCTTTGTAAAAATGAAAATTGATGCTGGAGACGGACTGGCTCTAGATTACAGAGATACTCACGATGCAGTTAAGGGACTTTCAGCTGCCTCGATGTCACTGATGCTGCACCACACCTGTCTCCCAGAGCCAGAGTCGAGTGTGAATCTGTCACTTTGCCAGCCGCCCTCCCCCGGGCCCAGCTTTCAGACACTAATTGTGACCTCCCAGAAACTATCAGATAGGGAAAAATGCGTCTTTCCTGAAGAGCAGGTAGATACGTCCTGTTACATTGAAAGAAAATAAACAATGAGACCATTACAATATATCCCCAAAGAAAATCCAGCCTACGAGGGGTGTTTGTTAGTAAGCAAACAGTGTCACAACTCAAAACAGGTGAAGCACTCTGGTTTCGAATCATGAGAGTACTAAATTGCCCCATTACAATGCCAACTTTAATTTTCTCTCTCCAAGAAACTAAATCAGTCTTGCTCTGTCTCCACCTTGCAGGTCCGTTAGTCTTGACCACAGGATGGACAGCCACTACTGGACACATCGGCCTACCATTTTCCTGCAGACTTAAAAATCTAAACAAAAGATTGGTGCTTCTGAAGTCTTCTGGGTTTGCTTAGTCATGGATGCATTAGAATTGTACCCCTACATTCCAACTCAATACATGAAAAAATTAGACCAAATTAAAAAAATCTAGGCAACCATTGATAAAACGTATTAATAAGGACCAGCTCCCTTTAGATTTTTGTAATTCACTGGCTTTAGCCATATAGTGGATCACACTGTGTCGATGAGCATTACTGCTTTAACGTAATGAGGTGATTGGTGTGAATTTTAAGAGCTAGTGAATTATTCACAAGGGTTTAGATTATTTTAATAATTCAGCAAATTTACCTCGTATTGAAGCAATGAAAATGTTCATTAATAGTTGACACTTCCAACCAACGTTTTGCCAAAGACTTTTCTAATATCTTAAAAATAAGTTTACTGGGCTTTGACTATTCTAGAGTATAGTTCTCACTGCTACATTGTACAAATAAGGACACGGGCCAAAAAGATTGGACAAGGACAAAGAATATGTGTCAGCACTGAAACTAAAGTCTTGGATCCCCATCTGGGTGTCTCATTACAAAACAGGAGGAGATAAAGATGGATATTTAATCCAGGCTGAGCTCAGAGGTGCCATTCCAATGATTTGGGAAGAAATTGAGTTTGCAAAAATGAAAGTAACATAAGAGGGAGAAATAAGATAGAGGAAACTCAACTTTCATCCGTGGAGGACACTTGGAGGGTATTTGAATGTATTCTCTCAATCTGTCAAGCAAAACAAAAATCTCAGGAAGGTGGGACAAGCTATTAAAAGGTACACCTCAGCTTCAGGAAGTGAGCATGTGAAGGAAAGGTAAATCTAGATTTCTTTAGAAATTTTCTATATAAGAACCAAAGGTTTATTTAGAAACTAAAGATTCCCCTTTCTGCCATGGGTTGGTTGGTGACCATGGGCAGATTCCTGAATCTCTCTAGAAGGCACCGGGGAGGGGATTCAGGGAAAGAGTTTGTCTCTGTGCTTGGCACATAGTGTGCCTTCAACAAGAGGCAGTTTCTACTGCCATTACCTGTGTGCTGTTATTGCCAGTGTTGTTGTTCTTATTACGTGGTCCCACTTTATGGTTTTGGTTTCCCACTTTTGTTCATCACATTTCATCCAGTGGCATTATGATCTGTGATTTCCTATTACAGGCAGTGTTTTAGTAAAGAAGCAACATACCCGATCAATGAACAGATCAGCAAATTCAATTGCTTCAAAACCTGGATTCTGTACTTTAAGAAAAAAATGACTTTATCTCTCACTTTTCCAAGATGACAGAGGTCACTGAATGTCTGTTGTGAAGTTCCAGTGAACGCTTAACACGAATTCATTTTTAAATCTCTATAATTTTTATCCTTTTACATCAGAAACAAATATTCTGCCTCCTCTGAAATTGCCTTCCCCCAAGGTTCAAATACTTGTGAGGAAATTGCTACAATTTTTGCTTATTCTCTTTTACATTTTTACCTTAAAAAATCACAGAGTATCTTAATATTCTCATAAAATTGGTACATACAAACATTGAAGTACAAAACAGAAAGTAAAAAGTCACAAAATTCTACTACTTAACATCTCTGTAATTAAGTATATGTTCATTATGTTCTTTATCTTTGCACATGGAGAGAACAATATGTAGACGTAATTCCTCAAAATTTGGATTACTTTTCAATAAAAATGTTTTTAATACTTTTATTGAGAATTGTCACACTACACATCAGGAAAATCTTGAGTTGAGTAAGACAAGGCAGCCAACGCCTGGGCATGGTGGTGCACACACGTAATCCCAGTATTCAGGAGGCTGAACCAGGAGGATTACCATGAGTTTGAGGCCAGCCTGACCTGCATAGGAAGACCCTGTCTTAATAAAAGAAAGAAAGAAAGAGAGAAAGAAAGAAAGAACGACAGATGTTAATACAGACATTGGAATTGTCTAATATGATGCCTACTGTGCTCAACATGAAAATGCTTCAACAAGCAATTATGAGCATGCTTGAAGCAAATAAAACTGGAAATCCTCAAAAACAAATAGAACATAAAGGGAAGAATCAAATGGAAATTTTACAACTAAAAATACAACTTTAAAGCTCTCAGCCCATCAGATCTCATTGTCTCAACAGCAGAACAAACAAGATAGAGGAAAGAACCAGTAGGCTTCAAGAAAGAACAAGAGGAAGTACCTGTTTTGAAAAATAAAAAGATAGAAGAAAGAGTATGCTGTGGATTTCTGGGATGTGTTGGAGTATAAATATCTAATATTTGAGTCTCAAAAAGGATGGAAGAAAAGAATGCAGATAAAAAAGAGTATTCAGGGAAATAATGACTGAAATTTTCCATAATAGGCAAAACACATAGCTCCATAGTTCCTTATGAGTTCATTTAACTTTAGTTACTTTTTAAAGACTCTGTGTCCAAATATAGCCACATTTTAAGGCTCCAACATATGAATTTCAGGGTCACAATTCAGTATATAACATACTCTATTCATATCATTAGCACAAATCTTTTTCACATTTTAGCTGTATCTATGTTGTTCCTTGAGTTTCTAGTTTACTACTTTTGGCTTTAAAAAAAATTTTGTTCTTAGTGCATGTTTGTAGTACACAGTGACTGCACTCATTGCAGGGAGCTGGAGCTTGTGCACCGCGCAGCCCAACCCTCCCTTTCTTCCCTTCTCTCCCCTCTCCCCGCTCCCTCCTTCTCTTGGTTTCCTCCTTTGCAAAAAATCTGTCTCTATTTCCTATTATCTATCTTTGATTTGCTTATTTATTTAGTTATTTATTTAGTGAGACGGTCTCACTATGCAGTTCGGCCTGTCCTCGAACTCACCATGTAGCTCAGGCTGGTCTCTAACTTGCAGTAATTCTCCTGCCTCAGCTGCCTGAGTGCTGGGATTACAGGTGTGTGTCACCTGTAATTTATTTATACTTTAAGTTTTTCATAGAAGAATCATGCCTGTCTGACTAAATGTGTCTAGTTTTATTTCACTTAACATTAAGATCTCAAGGTGGTGCTTGCTTTTGGCAGCACATACACTAAAATTGGAATGCTACAGAAAAGATTCGCGTGGCCCCTGCACAAGGGTGACGCAAAAATTCATATAGTTTTCCATGTTTAAAAAAAAGAGAGAGATTTCAAGGTGCTTCTGTTTTCATACAAATGACTCAAATTCATTCTTTTTTGTGGCAAAATACTATTACACTGTGTATAAATACCACACTTTCTTTACCCACTCATCTGTTGATGAACATACAGGCCACTTCTAAGATTTACCTACTATGAATTACACTGTTATAAACTGTAATAATACATGTTTAACTCTTTCAGGAAAATATCCACAAGGGGAATAGCTGGATTAAGTGGAATTAGGTTTTTGTTATTTGAAAATAGTAAAATACAACAGAACAAGACAGAACAAAGCAAGTTGAGACAATGCAGTGAAATTGGTACAGAATTTACCAGGGTAACAGTAATAGGTACCATAGTATATCTTGTTATCTTCACAATAGTTGTCCATCCAATCAGGTAAGCAAAAGCAAACCAAATACAGAACATCATAAAACCTATCAAAACAGGATATTGAATAGCACAATACAATTAATTAGGACAAAGCAAAACAATGGTAACAATATTTGTCTTCAAAGATATGGTAGAAGGAAATCCCCCTTATTTGCTATATTGCATATGGTCAACCTCCCAGGAGATGCTCAGACCTCTGGCCCTCATTTGCTAACAAGGGGGGATAGGATGTTTGATTCTCAGCACATGCGCCAGTAGGCTCATGGCTGCTTACCAGGGAGGCGAGTGGGTTGCTTTGTTGCCCAGTGCCTTAAGTTCCAACATGGCAGGGAGACGCTGGCTGGTTCTCACCTTGGGTCCCCCGCTGCTTGCTCAGACCACCGCTGCTTACCTGTTTTTAGTTTTTTGAGGAATTTCCAGACAGATTGTCACTAGTTTACATTCCCACCAACAACATAGCAGGGTTCCTTTTTCCCCCACAACCTTGCCAGCATTTGTGATTACTTGATTTCTTAATGATAGCCATCTTACTGCAGTAAGATGGAATCTCAGTGGTGTTTTAATTTGCATTTATCTAATGGCCAGAAACTTTGAACATTTTATGTGTTTGTTGGTCATTTTTACTTTTATTTCTGAGAAATAATCTGTTCACTTCAGTTGCTCATTTTTGATGGGGTCTTTTTTTTTTTTTTTTTTTTTGAGGGGATCTAATTTTTTGAGTTCTTTGAATATCTTAGATATTAGACTTCTGTCCAAAGAATAGATGCCAAAATTTTTCCCAGTCTGTAGGTTGTATCTCCTCCCTGGTGATTGTTTCCTTTGCTCTTTAGAAACTTTTTAATTTGCTATGATCACATTTGTGTATTCTTGATTTTATTATTTGTGCAGTAGAGGTTCTGTGCAGAAAGGCATTGTCTTCAAAATTTTACCTATTTTATCATCCATCAGATTTAGTGTTTTTCTTTCAATATTTAGGTCCTTGATCCCTTCTTATTTTAGTGTAGTATATGATGGGATATGTTGGTTTGCATTCAACCTGCTGCATGTGGGTAGCCACATTTCCCAACTCCGTTTGCTAAAGAGGCTTTCCTCCAGTATGTGTTTTTGACCCTTTACTAAAGATCAGATAGCTAACTGGGCCCAGAGTTGTTTTTACACCCTCCAGTACACTCCCATGATCTACATATCTCTTTTTGTGCTAGTACCATGCTGTTTTTATCACTGTAGCTTTGTAATACACCCTGAAACCTGGGATCATTGTGTCTCCTGCTTTTTTTCTTGTTACATATGATAGTGTTTGCTGTTCTGAGTCTCTTCTGGTTCTGTACAAATTTTAGCATTGTTTTATCTAGTTTTGTAAGGCATGTTGTTCTTTTGATTGTGATTGCATTAAATCTATATGACATCCTCTTTACTTTCCTTTTTCATCGATCTTTTCTTAATTTTTGCCGTACAGATATTTCACTTCTTTGGGTATATCAGTTCAAAAGTATTTGATTTGTGTTCATGCTATTGAGAATGGTATTGTTTTCCTAACTTCTTTCTCAGTGTGTTCATTATTGGTGCACAAGAACATGATTGATTTTTGTGTGTCTATTTTGTATCTTGCTACATTGCTGAATTTCATTATTACCTCTAAGACTCTTTTGGTAGAAATTTTTGAGTCTTCCACATAAAAGATCTGCAATGACTCTTTGATGTCTTTCTTTCTTATATGTATACTTTTTATGTATTTCTCTTGCCCAATTGCTTTAGCTAATATTTAGTGATATATTTGACTAACATGGTAATATTGGATAGGAATGGTGATGTGGACATCCTTGCTTTGTTCCTGATTTTAGAGGAAAGGATTTCAGCTTTTCTCTACTTAACCATTTAACAGTTTACCCCAAATCACTTGAAGAACACATTTTGCACATGCTGACTAATCCTTAGCATCTTGGCAAGTGTCATTTCAACTAGTCAGTTCTCGTTTGCATGAGATGTTTATTAGTTTTATATAGACTACTTTTGCATATTTTATATTTGGAACATTGTATTTGCCTTTGATACTTGTTTTGAGTGCAATCTAATAATAAGTTCTGGTTATTTTCTTTTACTAATTCATGTTTACTATATTTGTGAAAAAATTCTGTAAGTTAATGCTACGATCTATAAAACTCTAATCATAAATATATTAGATATAATTTTTGTGCTTCACTTTAAGCTTTTCTGTCCTGTGAGATTTGGGTTGACAAATCTGCCGGAGTTCTAAGTAGTGCTTTTATAAGTGATTTTATTTTATTTTGCTTTTTTCTTAACAGCTTGTAAGATTGTTCTCATTTTGGATTTCTAGGATTTTTACTACAATGTCTCACGGAGAAGTCCTTTTTAGATTGTGGCTCTTTGGGAATCTACATGTATCATTTGTCTCTGTTAAATTATTCCCCATATTTGGAAAGTTTTCTATTATTTTTATGAACAAGCATTTTTTGCCATTTCTGCTGTCTGCTGATTTTTACTAATTCCAATTCATCTTAGATCAGTCTTCTTTGGTGCACCTAGTGGCCATCGCACCCGTTTTCCATGTTCTCTTGTTTTGAGGGTATTCCTGAGTGTGTGTTTACCTGCATCAGCCCTTTTAGTTTTGATATCTCCCCTTGCACTGGCCCCTTTGTACACCAGTGCTTTTGGTTAGAATATTTTATCCTGGGTTTCTGTTTTGAATCTTTTCACAGACTATGTTTTTTGTTTTTTCTAAACTGATTATTCATGTTTGTATCATTTTGTTTAGCTCAGCAAGCTTTTTTTAGCATCTTCTGCAAACTCAGTGATCATTGTGCTCATTATTTCCATTATGTGTTTAGTCATATCATCCTTGAGTTCACCAAGCACTACATCTTATTGATCATTCTTTTCTTCCTCTTTATCATGTAATTCACTTGTTTGGCTTTTGATTTCCTTCCTATTGACCAACTTTGGGGTAGCTGGAAGTTTTTGGAGGCATTTGTTGCTTTGTCTTCTCATGCTTCTATTTTTCTTACTTGTGCTGAGAGGTTTGAAGATCAGTTATAGTTGAAAGATTGTTGTGAGTATGGAGATCTCTTTATTCAGTGCCTGCTTTTCAGTGATGCACTCTTGGTATTTGTTTCTGTCCAAAATCCAATCGCTTCCATTAATCCAGGAGGGTAGAGTACAGTGAAACTGGCTCAGTGGAGTTTACGAGTTTCGTGAAGTTTCGTGTTTCCTTCCGTTTTTCCCCCTTAGCTCTCCGGTCTCTACTTTCATTTTGCCTTGTGCTTATCATCTGGACCTTGAATTCTTGTTCTGTTACATTCATGTTCTTGTGAGTTTCTTCTACATCCCGATATGCTGATAGAGAATTATCTTCTCTCTCATAGGCTATGTTTTCATCCAGATTTCATCCTGATCTTTCTATGCTGATTAATGTATTCCTTTTTTCTTTTTTCTCCTGTAGACTGGTCCCGTAGATATGGTGGCTTTCCTTCTTTTTAAAATATATTTCTACGGGGCTGGGGATTTAGCTCAGCGGCATAAGCACCTTCTTTGCAAGCAGGCAGTCGTGAGTTTGATCTCCGGTACCGATAAAAAGGAAAAAGACAATAAAATAAAATAAAATAAAATAAAATAAAATATACTTCTACATAAAGTGCAAATCTTTTTCCAGCCTCCTTGTTGTTCTGGTAGTTAGCTATCCTTTCTTTTTGCACTTAATTTGAAAACTGACTTCCTTTTTATTTCTTTCCTTTTATTCAATTGAGAAAATTCAAGGAAAGAAAGAAAACCTATTGGACTTACCCATATTTTTACTCTTCTTGTTGCTCTTTCTTTTTCCCTAATGTCCTAAAATTGTTTCTTTTCTCATTACTATTGTTTTTATTTATGTGCTTCAAGAATTTTCTTTTGCCATTTTTTAGGGTATGTCTGTGTGTGTGAGAAAACTTGAGATTTCTTAAATTCTCATATATTCCTGAAGTATAGTTTTGCTGAAAATAATTCTGAGTTGATAGTGTTTTTCTTTTTTATTATTTTAAAGAGAAACACACACACACACACACACACACACACACACACACACACACCACACAAGATAGTGCTTTTCTTTCAGCACTTAAAAAATGATATCATAGGCTGGAGATGTAGCTCAGTGGTAGAGCATTTGCTTAGCATTAGCAAGGCATGGATGTGATCCGCAGCATCGCACACCACCAGAGAAGAAAAGGAAAAAATATAAAAGTTCGGATATTAACAACTCACTTCTTCCAGTTCTCCTTGATTTCTAATGAGAAATCTGCTTTTATTCCAGTTGTTTTTCTTCTATAAGTGAGGTGCTTATTTCTTGTTTATTTCAATTTTTTTTATTTGCTTTTAATGTTTGTTTGTTTGGGGGATTTAGCTCAGCGGTGTAAGCGCCTGCCTTGCAAGCACACAGTCGTAAGTTTGATCCCAGTAACCCCCCTCCCCCCAAAAAAACACTTCATGTTTGTTCGTTTTATAATAGTGGGAGTAAAACCCAGGGTCTTCATGCTGAGATACATCCCCAGCACTTTTTAAAAATATTCATTAAATTGTTGAGACAGTCTTGCAACGTTGCCCAGA